TAGTTACCTATACTATTCTGGGGGTTCGTTATTATAACTATAGTATAATGTACAGTAACATACACCAAAACCTTGTTCTAATTACCAAGGCCCCTACAATAAATTAAACCCTAAACCCTAAAACCATCATAAGTTTGTAAGGGGTTTCTGAGGGTCCTAAACCCTAAACCCTAAACCCTAAGAGAGTCGCAAGGAATCCTTTAGGTTCATGGCTGAGCCGGTCAAGATCAGGGCGAGCGCTAAGTCTTCAGTGGCTCGTTGTCGGGGCCTACTTTCAAGGACAGGGTTTACGGTTTAGGGCTTTTTCGGGTTTAGGGTTTAGGGATTAGGGTTTTAGGGTTTAGGGTTTAGGGTTTTTTTAGGTGTTTTAGGGTTTTAGGGTTTTTAGGGTTGAGGGCCTATGCTCAAGGATTTTTCCCCAAATCCGAGATTATGTTCTTGCCAAGCAGGATATTGCGGAGGTGTGCGAAGGGGACCCTGTGCAATCCACAAGCCCGCGATTAGTGGGTGCGCCCCTATTCCTAAAGTGAAAGGCGCACCCACCACACGCACACTGTCTACACACCCTAAACTTAAACCCTAAGCCCTAAACCCTAAACCCTAAACCCAAGACAGGAAGCCGGTTGGTCAACAGAAGCAGTCGCAAAGGCACTCTGCGTCACAGCACCCACCTCGATCCTGCACCAGTTTGCTCTGGGGCAGATGAGTGGGTTTAGGGTTTAGGATTTAGGGTTTAGGGTTTAGGGTTTGGGGTTTAGGGTGGACATAGTCTTTTCATAGGTTCCTATAGTTCCCGTACAACCCTTACATAATCCGAAATCAGGCGGGGGCGAATGTGAGTCCATGTCTGTCTGGTGATTAGTAGGGAATGGGGGAATGGGTTATAGGGACTACTATAAGGGACCTTAGGGACTATCATAGGGAACCATTCCCCCATTCCCTACTAAGCACCAGACAGAGTTAGACGCATGGCTGCAGCCAGTGGTGGGAGGGGTGTGCGCAGCCACGCAGCAGATCGGGGGCTGTAACAGCAGATCACGAGGTGGACGGTTTAGGGTTTAGGGGTTTAGAGTTTAGGGTTTAGGGTTTAGGGTTTAGGGTTTAGGGTTTAGGGCTTAGGCGATTGTGCTGAGCTGAAAAGACGGATGTTGCTGTCTTGTGGGGAGCCGTATACGTACGTCAACTTCTTTCGACGCTGTTGGTGCGAAGCCATACAGCAACTTCGACAAGTTTCTGCGGTTGCAACTTTAAGGCTGAATGCGGAAGTAAAATAGCTTGTTGGGTGTGCGTGCAGTAACTTATGAATCTTATTCAGTTGTGACAAGGTATGTGTTGAGCCACGAGCCGAACCCATGAGCTGGACATGCTTGTGACTAGGCTTGTCTGAAGCCAAACAAGTGTGACCCACTCTGAACCCTGTAGAAACCCTAAACCCTAAACCCTACCCCTTTCCATCCTGAAGAGGGCTTCAACGTCGCTCTCGCTGCACAGGTCGCGCACCTCCTCCTTGAGACATACCACATGGCAGGTTGAGACAAATGCGCTCCTTTTTTCGGATAATACACTCAAAAGGGAACCCTAATTTGGGGAGCGCGGCAACTGCTTTCCCAACATGCATAGAGACCAGCGGAATCTGTCACCAAGCCTGTCCAGCGGTACATTAAGCCGAAGCACATTGACGAAAATAACAGCCGAGGAGCAGCATCCAAGACCATCTGGTAATGGCGAACTAGCGGATCAAACCTGAATCTTTAGGGTTTAGGGTTTAGGGTTTAGGGTTTAGGGCAAACCTGAATCACTGGACTTGAGGTCAAAGCCTGCACTTTGCCTATGCAGAGCTTTCGTGCCTTACCTTGTGCGAGTCCCTAAACCCTAAAAGTTCCTAAACCCTAAGCATCAAGGCTGAAGATTAGCCAAGATTCACTGGGGTAAAGGCAGCCACGACGGGAACAAGCGTTTGGGAAACGTTTGCGACAGAAGTATTCGTGGAGTTGCTCACGGTGGTGACGACAGTGCATATAGCCTGCCATCACAGCAGTACGTGCGCAGACTTCTAGATGTATTTCACCCCATGCTCAACTTGACAGTGTCCTGGACACTGACGACAATGTCAGAGAGTCGATCGTTGGTGTCCGGTGCGGTCGATAACCCGCTCTCTGACACCTGGAAGATGTGGGATTCGCTGAGTGGACCCACAGTGCACACTCTGAGACCAATAGCTGCCTCTCTTCGGAATTTTCTGAGACTAAAATCACCTACTTGCAGTGCAGGATCAAAATCAAGCGGATTTGGAACTTGGACTAGTGTGCTCGCGACAGTTCATGAGCTGAAGACCTTCTTTTCTACCACATACATTGAGCTTAGGTGTGGACTAGGCTGTCAGGCGAGCGTCAAGGCGTCCTCTGTAGTCCTACGCACACAGGCTTTAATGTTGAGTCTTCATGACTCCGCAGCTGCAAGACAAGCTGCAGTGGCAGTCACCATAGGGTCACCAATGGCGCTGCCTGCATAACTACTCCGCCATTTCCAGACACACTCTTCGCAACCCAGTGTAGCAAGCTTGTAAACCGAGCTTCTACACAAATGGGCGTTTCCGAAAATAGGGGACCCTAATATAGTACCCTAAATAGTAGGATCCTTATTATAAGGACCCCTCAAATAAGGTACCCTAATAATCGGAAACTCCCAAATATCAGCTGCCATGATAAGCCTGCTGGCATCCAACACAGAACCCATCCAGAGCATGGCTTTGACACAGGACGGTCAGCAGCACCCTAAACCCTAAACCCTAAACCCTAAACCCTAAACCCTAAACCCTAAACCCTAAACCCTAAACCCTAAACCCTGCCTGTGCAAGTGACGGTGTACTGCGTGAAAGGCGTAAGGCCAGTGATCCGAACCTTGGTAATGCCCCAAAGCGGCTCAAAAAGGGTTTAGGGTTTAGGGTTTAGGGTTTAGGGTTTAGGGTTAATGCCCCAAAGCGGCTCAAAAAAGGGGCCTCAGTAATTAGAATAGAGTCTTTGGGCCCGTTATACTATAAGTATAATAAGGAACCCCCAAAAAATAATGTAGGTAGTTCTTAAGGCCCTAAACTCTAAACTCTAAACCCTAAACCCCAAACCCCACACCGAAGGCCCCTTTTTTTGAACGTGCTTCGCTGTGAGAGTTTCTCAGCCCGAGACCTCCAGGAACTCGCGACTGCCCGTAAAGTCCAAAGGGTCGGTCTGCTGCATTAGGCCTTCGGACGTCAGAGCTTGCCAAGATGGGTTTAGGGTTTAGG